GCCTTCCAAACGTCTAATGCTAATGTCACCTTCCAATTTTCATTCCAGCCAAAATTGAATGTCTGTGGGATGTAGGATTCCAACGTCTTTCTGACATCATATTGACGTCTGGTGCCAGCTGGGAGGTCACTTATTAAATATTACAGCAAAGCATCAATGAAAACATCTGTTGAAGGGTCTGGATCAGACTCTGGACAGACAGTCACACAATATTTTAAGGACTCTCACTGGGATCAGGAGTAACAAACACGATCAGGATGATCAGAACATTCCTACTTTTGACTGAGCCATTTGACTTGCATTAAAATATAAAAGTAATGCACACCAAGACTTAAAGTAAGGTGCTGATCACTGGCAATAGACTTGATTTTAGAAGACATGTATCACACACTGGCTCCATATGTAATTCTTGTATTTTGATGATAACATTTTGGCCTTTGCCTTCTGTTTATTGTGGACCTTGAGGAAGACCCAAAGCCTGATCCGTCTTCAAACAAAAATGTTAATAACAATACCTCACACAGGGGCTCTAGTTCAGGGCCACCCTGACCCCTTGGGCCCTGGGGCCAGTGCACATGCAGTTCTACATCCATGTAATAAACTGAACTATTTCTTTGACAGAGGGCCGATAACACAGTGTGGAAATGTTTTAGATGTGCAGATTGGGACCTGAATTAATAATCAACAGGACAAACTGCTGGTGTTTTAACTCAGCTTTCTAACTGCTGCGTTTGATGTCTGGACAAAAGCAGGGCCTCGCACTTTTGGGATCTGTACTTTGTCTGACCCTTCTGGGCCCTAAATGTCCGTCACACTGCAGATGTGACCACAGGACAGCTCTGTGGGGATTGCTAACGTGGATAGGGAGCCATCCTGATGTAAGACTCTCCCCCACAGTTGGACTGACTCGCAGCTACCATATGGTGAACATCTTAGCGCAGTTCCCATCTATCAAGTTTACTGTAGCTTGTTCTTGGGCTCGGATTTGTTTTTCCGCCTCTCACTTTTTTGCCTGTTAATATAAACATTGGTGGATAAAACAGCTCTGAGTGGTAGTGGGAATTGTTGCTGTGTTACTGTGGCTCAGTTGTTAGTACTGAATCCCTTAAGATGTTGGCTGAAGTCATAGCAACACCTGTAGCCTGGCATGCGCTTTTAATGGGGCCTTATTTCATATGCATTGATGTCACTGGGTACTTTTCCAGTAGCAGTGGGCATCTGAATGGAATCAGCCAGTTACAGGGATGCATCTGTCTCTAATGGCTGACAATGAGAATATACAGCTATCCATATAAACACACTCAGTTTTTTTCCATAGGCTCAGCTCCTGATGACAGTGAATCTGTCTCAAGATCCTAATCTTTCTCAGTCCACCTTCTCGCAAACTTGCCCCCCCCCCCTCCCCTCCCTACGCAAGCAGGCTGTGGAGAAAGTGCTGCCTCACTGCCAAATCCAACAAAGTCATTTCCTGTCGTTTCCTGTAGAGAGGAAAATGACCAGGGCTAATTTTAGACAGAGGACTTGTAGAGCCACAAGAAGCGAGGTTCTGCTCGGGGGGGTGGGGGGGTGGGGTGGGGGGGGGGGTGTCTCCGTGAGTGGAAAAGCATTCATGTCACTGATCCTGCAGTGTGAATGAGGAAAAAAAAAAGTGTGTGAAAATGTTCTAAGGAGGTGCAGTCATCTTCCCATCACTGCTAGTTTGGTTTTCAGCCACTTTTCTCACAGTCTCAACACAGCCACATTTATGCCACAGAAAGAGAAACTAACTGACCAGCAATACCATAATTGAAGTATGGCAGGTAATCCATGCCACTTCCTAACACCTATACCTCTGACAGTCTGTTACTCACCATGACCACTCTCTCTCTGTCCTTAGAATCTGACAGGCAGCCGTCCTCCGCCCAGGTACACCTACGATCCCTCCATCTTCGCCTTCCGCTCCTTGAGTACAGTGCCCCCCTGCAGCCCACTGACGCCGTCGGAGGATCCTCCCTGCTCCTAAGGAAACTCACCCACCGCCAGATAATCCCCCCCCCCCCTCCTCTCTTCATTCCCAGACGGCTGCTTTTTTTGTGGCTTCTGCAGAGAGACCAAGGAGCGACTGTTATGAAACTGACCGCTAGAAAGACCTTTGTTTGATGGTCAAACTATTGCACACTCAGGTAATCCCACCCTGTATCTTTAAGCTGTCACTTTGATCCTTGCTCTCCACATGAAACCAACCAGGAACATTTGGAGAATGAAATGGCCTAAACACAACATTTCTAAAGGATACTTCAGGTATTGCATATGTATAGCTGTCTCTGAAAAGATCCTGTGATTGGAGGAAGAATGGCCGAAAAGCAAACATGGACCAGAGGTGGTACAAAGGGACAAGGCCGACCGTTGTGAAGCCTGAATTTAGTTCTGGGTTGGATCAATATTCAAGGGAAATAATGCATGTAAGACAATCAAATGGTTCCAAGGTTTCTTCCTTTGATGTGATTACTGGACATCTTGTAAGGTTCTTGGTAACTTTATATACTAAACATGGCAAGGTGAGTCATTTGATATCTTGTTATTGTTGAGATAAACATAGACAGTGGTCACATTCGTCCGTCTGAAAATACTACTTCTTTGGATGTGTTATTGAATATGCAGGTCGTGACGAGCTATAACAAACATGTATGACATGTAAGTAGTTGAATAGTCGACCTGTGACCTTTGACGATGTACATTTCTTAATGAATTTGTCACTTTTAGTCCAGGTCAGAGTTAAGTACTTGTATCCTCTTTCCTTGCATGAATTCCACTGTTTTTGCAGAAAGAGAGGTATGTGGAAATAAGAAAGTATGAGAATAGTTTGCTGCACATTTGGCAAGTGTAATTGGTGCTGTGTTATGCATAGCCTACTTGTAGTGTGCCATTTTTTTTCCCCCAATATTGTACCTCATTACTTTCTAGGTAGAAGAGGACCACTGGTGTGTCGAAGAAATCCCAGTGTTTTTTAAAGATCTCTTAATGCCTTGAAATCACATTCCTGTTGTGTTGAATGAAACTTGAGGTAGTTCTCAGCTCCTGAAACGATCAACTGATTGAACACAATGTCACCACTGTAACTAAGACTTCGCCGAAGTGAATGTAACATTGTGACATGTTTTCGTCCATTGTTGCACAAAATGAATCAATAAATGCCCTGTGGCCTCTTGTTAAGGAGGAGATTTTTATTTTTATAATGTAACAGAGGGGAAACCCCAACAACTGTGTGGACCGAGAGAATGTGACTGACATCATGCCTCATCACCATCATCCAAATACCTTTCTCTGACAAACACTAAGGCTGGTGTTGGCTTGTGTTTCTCCTACAGACAGTTTCTGTTGGTTTTCTCTTAATTTTTTTTCCTTTTACACATCTGTAGGTCACAAGATACTTCACTCCACCTAAGTATTTATTTATGTCACTTGCCTTTTACTGAAGTGACTGTAAGGCAGTACTTCTCAATTGGGGGTAAGGGTACTTTGGAGTACTGTAAGGGGTACTTGACAATTCTTTATAATAAAAGGGGTAACTTTAGTATTTTCTCATGTTTTTTCTGTTTAAGTAACAAACAGGATTAACAATTTTTGAAATTGGTCCAGTTTTGAATGAACACTCTGCAGCCAGCAGTGGCGAAACCGGCTGCAGTGAACCATGCGGAACTGCCATATGGTTCACTGCAGCCAATTTACATTTACTAAAGGGCTTGTTTTTGCCACTGACAAGCTCAATTTGTTACTTTGACATTGTCTGACATTGTTTGGAAATGATCCCTACATAGAAAGATCATTTTGTTAAAGCGTGAGATCCTTCTTGTTTAACCAGAAACACACCAGACTCCATTTAAATAAGCAGTAATTTTAGCGTGTATAAAGCCAGCATTTCAAATCGAACTGGGTGCATAAATGATTTATTTAAACCAAGCCAGAGTTGGTGATCGTCGGAACAGCAGAAAGACAAACCAAGTCAACTTTGGCAAGTTGATTTTCTTGTTTTTGTTGACTTTGAATGAAGAGTGTTATGTTGATAAAATTACTGTTTATTTAAATGGAGTCTGGTGGGTTTGGCAATAACAAATTCAGGGCTGCTTCTGCTGATTTAAAAAGGATCTTACTCTTTAACAAAGAGGTCGACTTCTACAGGGATCCTTGCCATGATGTTGTCAGACACTTCTAATAACAATATGAGCCTGTCAGTGGCAAAAACAAACACTTTTAGTTGACTTAAGTTGATGGTGCTCAATTGCCCACAGGGATTACACTGCAGCATGTTTCACCGCTGCTCATTATCGGACCAATTTCAAAAAATGTTGTTCCGATTAGTCACTAAGACACAAAAACATGGGAAAATTGGGTCCAAGTTGGACAATACTAAGTCACCCTTTAACTGACATACACCGCTGCAACAACAAAAATCATGTTATGTTGCTACCAAAAATGTTTTGCACTGGTCAGGGGGTATGTGGCTGAAAACATATTTCAAAGGGGGTACATGATTGAAAAAGTTTGAGGACCACTTCCCTAAGGCATAGCTTTGTCATAATACTATAAGCCACTGCACCTCATCTGACTGACAAAGTGCACAGGCTTATTTTTTTATCACCGGAACACCATCTTCAGTGTGACTGAGGAGGATCTGCCAGGTTGAACGACAGAGGACTCTTCTCATGTGTTTGGGGCAGGGAGGGAAGAAAGCTTTCCATCAGTGATTAGTAGGTCACAGCACAGAACATCACAGCAAAGATCTACAGCCAAAACCACAAGCCTCTTTGTGCCAGATCAAACTCTGAGAAACACTCTTTGTGTGTGTGTGTGTTGTGTGTGTGTGTGGCAGCTTGAAAGAGAAAAAAGTCTGACGTCAAAACTGGGTTGGGTGTGAAGAAGGCCCCAGAAGTGTACACCAGAGAAGACGGATGGTTGGAAAATTTAGGAGAGCGTGAAAAACGAGGGTATATGTGAAGTGTGTAAAAAGTTTCACTCGTAGGTTATTTACAGACACTTTTATTATACATTTATATAACAAAATACAGTTTCTTAACTTTGTCTTTTGAGAAAAGACGACAGGAAAGAGGGTGGAGAGTATGGCAGTAAACCAACACAACAGCACTGAGTGGGATTTCACAGAGCGAGGAATCCTGCTCTAGGCAAACACACCAATAGCTGACTCACTCATAAAGACAATCTTGTTAAAAAGAGAACTTTGAGAAGGTTGGGCTATGTGTGTATGTGTGTGTCGGTGTAGACACGGACGCACACTCCACTAAGCTTGAGTCATTATCAGCTTGCGTTTCATCCAGTAAGCCATCCGAGTGTCCAGATGGTCAGAAAAGCTGCTTCAATGCTCTCCCTCTTTCTCCCTCCCTGCCACACACTCTCCTTTGGAAAAGAAAAAAGGTTATGCCAGCGATCGACTGAAGCCAAATAGGGGAGGGATACAGATTGGATGTCAGGTGGATTTAACTGCAAGAGGAGCAGCCAAAGACCAGAAAGCTGAATTCAGATCAGTTACCGCTCCCTGCTCTGTCCCTTTCTATTTTCTGCTTGGATGATATATAGAATTCAAATAAAAGAACAAAATTCAAGTGCTACCGCTCTCTATTATTGTCATGGGTAAAAACTGCCAGCAGGCTGACTGCCCAGTGTCTGCTCCCTTAGCTTGCCAGTTTAATGTGAATTGAAGTAGTGTGCATTTTGTTTATGGCAGTCTGAGAATGCAAATATCCCCAAAAGATAATAAAAGGTGCAGTATTATCCCTCTGTGAGCCCCTGATCTGCTGCAGGCTCCCATATTTTCAGGCTGAAGTGCACACAGGGACTGGGATGGGTAGAGAGGGTTAAAATGGTCAGAGCTAAGGAGACTGGAGGCTTTGTGTTGCAGGTATTATCTGCAGTATAAAAGCTGCTGGAGTGGTAACACAAGAGCTCCCTCTCTTCTGTTTCCCTCAGTAGCCGTACTTGTCATTTAGGTGTGTGCGGCCATCTCCAGTCTGACCTACAAGTGAAGAAAAAGCTGGAGTTAGCACCAGAAGGATTCACATTTACATACCAATTCATGATGTATGACATGTTCAAAGAAAGGAAAAACAATACAAAATGAAATAAGATGCTTGGGATGTCCCAAATGCACTGAGGGATTACTGAATGGGCTTAATGGGCACAGGCCGAGGGGCCCAAAGTGTAAGGGGGGCCTGCTGGCCCTCGCCTGCAAAATGTCGCTGAGATTAACATGTATTGACCAGGAAGAGATTTAAAAATGTAGACAAAGAGATGCAGAGGAACTGCAACAACACACAAAATAACTACTAACAGGGGCAGAACAACCACAAAGAAACAAAAAACAACCAAAAAAAGACAAAATAACCACAAAGAGACACAAAGAACCCAAAAATGCCAAAATTATCTCAAAGACACAAAACAACCAAAAAAGACACAAAATTAACTCAAAGAGACACACAATTATCTCAAAGAGACACACAATTATCTCAAGATCCAAATCCAAAACAACAACACACAAAAAAGGCTAAACAACTACGTCTGTGTTTTGCTCCTACGTAGGACACATTGGGGGCCTTTTGGTGTGTGCCCATTGACCCCACTGTCTGATAATCCGCCGCTGCTCACAAGAACAAATTCACCCAACTGACCTGTAGCCCAGCTTCCTAATTGCTGACTTGTATGCAATCATCAAACCAATTACAACCCTAAAATGACGTAGTGCAATTAGTACTGACCCTAACTTTAAGCTGAGTTTGGCAGCTGTTTCAAAGTTTGTTTTTATTTAAGCTTATCTTATCCTTTTTACGTGACTTTAATCTGCATTCCTCAGCTAACAATGAAAATGTTGCTGCAATTTCAACTGGACAAATGGACCATGAAAGCCTGTTTACTTCCTCTCATCACGTCCTTGAAAAAAATGCATTCCTCCCACCATTCCTGTGCTCAGTAGGCCAGGGACGTACAAGCCTGTCAGTGTCAACAAATACGGATGCAGAAAATAGAATGGCACTGGTCTCGCACCAAGTCATCCTGGGTATCTGCTTTTTTCATATCTGAATTTCAAATACTGCTCTTATTTGAACTCTTGACCCTCAGTCAAGCAAAGGTCTACAGATTTAGACATGAGCTTATATCTCACTTATAAGAATGGTGACATGGTTAAGACACTGCTTGCTTGATAAGATTGACTTTGACATAAAGACATGGTCAATTGGTCAATATATGGCGGAGTCTAGTGCAAATAGTCATGAGTTAGAGTTAGTTATGAATAGTCATACCTGAAGGAGGCACCCAGACACAGTAATCAGGGTCGTCTTCTGGATACTGTGCAGAAAGCTGCCCTGGTGGCTGTGGAGGCAGATCATAAGGAAATTCAATCAATGTCACACTTTTCTGTATCTAGAATTGTGTGTGTGTGTGTGTGTGTGTGTGTGTGTGGTCCTACCCTGCTGGGGCCCATCACTTTCTTCTTCACATTCTTTCTGGGTCTGGGCTCTGCTTCTGACTCTTTGTCGCCTCCTGCTTTGGACTCTATGAAGACATAGGTATAGTGCATTAGTACGGAAGCCCAGTTCTGCCAGTGTGATGAAATAATGACTGAAGCGGGATTTATACATCTGCATCGAATTGACCACATACCCCACGCCACAGCCTGACATGCACCTCCCCAAAAATGTAACTACACGTCGCAGCTACACAGACCGGTCTATCTTTGTAAGCTGAAACCATTTCCCTCAGTGGAAACAAAGCTTTTATTAACTTTATTTCACAGATGAGAAACAATAAATTGTAAAGACAATAAAGCCTCCACAAAAATAGCATTTTAAGTCTTGCGTGTGATTTATCCTGGCTTCATATGAGTGAGGGTATCTCTGCTAGTCCCAAGGATAATTTATACAGTGTAAAATGCCTAATATGGAACCAATAAAACACAGTAGCCACCTGGACTTGATGGGGCTGCAGCCTTGTTGTTGCTGCGCTGAGGAACCTGCTCCACTGCTTCAGCACACTCCTCAACTCTCCTCTGTTTGTGCTCTAATATAAGGTCATATGGACAAAAACAAAGTGTGATCATTAGGATATGCACTGATCTACAAAAACAAATCATTTGTCATTTCTCCTTATATAACTCTGTGTATGGATGATACAAAGACAACAGTGTGCTTGTGTGTATATTACAGATCTACTGCCACCCAGTGGCACAAGAAATTAACAATACAACTAATGAACATGCTATGACGATCTCAGAAAACCAAGAAACAGAAGGCATGTTTTCCTCCCTTTCTTCCTTATTAATGTCAGCTTCAGAAAACCTTCCTCCAGTTGTGATGACTTCTTACCTCTCGGCTCCTGGGACATTGCTGCCTGCTGTCTTTGCCGCCCCAAGGGGGAGCTCTCTTGAGACATGGCTGCACTGGACTCCTCAGTGTCGACATCAGTCTCAGTAATGGCTGCGCACTCTTTATCGTCATTATCCTCATTTCTCTCTGCCTCCTCCTCCTCCTCCTCCTCCTCCTCCTCGTCTTCCTCCTCTTCTCCACTGGGTGGAAGTTCTTTCATGTTGAAGAGCTCGGCGGGCAAGTTGGGGCGCTTTGGAGGCAACTTCTACAAGAGAGAAGAACACATCAATAGAAGAAAGATGCTGAGCAGAAGACAGTAAGGAAATATGTTTTCAGAGGAATGAAAGAGTCAGGTGATTAGACTAAATTATGACATGACAAATAACACCTACCCCAATGGTACCAGTCTTCAGTTTGAATTTGCTTCCTCCCTTCATGGCTCCAAACAGTGGTAAGACTTTTTTAGGCTTCGCTGCCTCCGAGCTACCACTATCACACCAAAACACATCAAAATATGCTAAGTATTTAAATGTAGCCTGATATGTGTACTGGAATAAAAGCCTTTTCCATTAATTTGATCACATTATCTCCTGACAAAAAGATGTAAAACCTATTCCCATACTTGTCGTTCACATAATCTACATGGAAACTTGCTGATGTTTCAGTATATTTGCTTAAAGGAATACTTCACCCTTAAAAATCAACATTTGCCTATCAGTTACTCACCCTGTGTTATGTTGATTTTTTAAAGAAAACATAGTTTTTCTTATATGCCTCTGTTAAAACAAGGAATCAAGAAGCTGGAAAAATTCCTCTTGAATTGAAGTCATAGGGGTCCATGTTAAACAACAGCAAAACCATATCAAAACGTTTCCTTACAAACTCTCACACAACTCGTGCAGTATAATGCAAGTGTCATTTATCCAGTTGTATGCTCAGTATGTCCCAAACAGACCGCCCTGTCTGACTGGGAACTGAACTTAAACTAAAACTTACCTATGCTCTCTTCAAAGCCAGACCTCATTTACAAATATAGTAATTTTACCTTGCTGAACACAGGAGCTGTTTGTCTATCACTGCCTTGGTCAGTTAGTTGTTAGTTTGTTTGTGATATTGTGTGACTTTGGTGTGTATAAGGGTTAGTTTGGATTCATCAAAGTCACACAATAACACCAACAAACTATCAGATTGAGGCTGTGTTAGACCAGCAGCCCCTCTGGTCAGCGAGGTAAAATTACTGTTTTTGTCAGTGGAGTCTGGCTTTGAAGAGAGCATAGCTAAGTTTCAGTTTTAGGTCAGTTCCCAGTCGGACGTACTCAGGAAGTACTGAGACTTAATACGCAGTGTTACCATAAGGCTCAAATATGTTTTGTGGCCCCAGGAAGATTTTTTATCATTATTTACGATCAAAAATGACAGTTAAGGTTGCTGACCACTGTCCTAAAACTACCAGAGTGACCCCTTCTTGAACGCAGCACCGTGTCTAACCTCGGCAGCAGCGAGGGCATCTGTGCAGGCCGTGTGAGTTCCACCAGTTTTCGGAGCCTCTGAGCATCTTTGCGCAAGTCTGCCACGTGCACGTGAAGCTTCCTGCGCTCCACGGCGTCCATCGCTGCCTCACTTCGCACTGCGGTCATGAAAGCATCCAGGGGGTCCTCGGTGGAAGAGCCGGGGAAGTCTGAAAGGAGGGATGAAACGTACAATAACATGAGGAGAACAGGCATCTGTAGGTAGTGCGGCATCTGTCCAGTGCACAGTGAACACCCAGGCGATCATGACTCACCTCCTCTACCACCGCTGAGCTTTTTCTGAGTGTCTGCCAGCTCCTTCTCCACCTCTGACAGTTTGGCCACCTACATGAAAATCAAATACATGTATGTTACCACAGAAACATACAGTGTGCTCAGCACTATAGAGCAAGTGCAGTTTACAGTATAGGGTTGTTTCCGAGGTGAAGAGAGTTTTATATTATTTCCAGTACAAACAGCAGCTCCCATGAGCAGACAGGGAGCACCTACATTTATATATTTATGTATTACCATTATTCTGACAGAGAGGAGACGCAGGCACCTCTTGTGTGGTTTGTGGTTTTATATAAATACTCCAGCAAAGGAAAAAAACAGCTACTTGAAGTCAACATTTACAGATGTGGGAGTAAAAGAACAGAATCCGTTGATGTTGCTACACGTTCTGCTCTGTAGAGGATTTCATTACCTTGTTCCAAATATCAACCAGAAACAGATGGCACCTTTAGCAGCACGCTTTGTAGCCATGTTGTAGTGGCATGGTTCTATGGATGGAAGTGTATTAGTCAATCACCACACCGAAACATGTCAATAGTTATTGGATGGATTAGAGATTAGGTTTGGACATTTGCGTCCCTCTAAACTGTTAAAACTTCGGTGATCCTTTAACTTTCCATTTAACGCAATAACCAGGTCAAATTTTTAACATGTCCACTTCTTTGCTTAATGACCACATACCTGCAAAACTCATGACAGTCCCATCAGAATTCCCTGTACTTTGTGTTAAGTGCCAATATGCGACTGTTAGCATGCTACCACAATTTACTAGCTCTCTCCAGCACTAAGCAAGAAGCAGCAAACCAGGAAGACAGTAAACATGGAGGGGACTCTGGGGAAATGCAAGAACATGTCTCGCTTCTCTTGTACTGTGGAACAGCAGGATAAACTGGTGGAGCTGTGGAAAGTTTAAATTGGTTTGTTTGCAAGCACTTATTTTATAAGAAATCTTCAGTTTTGAAACAATTCCCCTCTCATTCCCACACTCTCCTCCCACTATATTAGCCCAGCTAACCAACAGAGGTAGCAAGTTGAGGCAACAAAATCCAAACTGTAGAGTTTAGAATTATGTGTTTTTGCGAACACTTAGGGAATTGTTAGTATGTTGTATTTCTTAAAGGGAGTTTGGCATATTATTTTCCACCAGGAGCAGGATGGGAAATAATCTCAAAAGCAATCTAGTTGAAGTCTTGCAAATAGTGACCCCGAGAGATCAGACTTCAGTCTTTTAAAATCTTTTCAAAGTCTTCCACAAAGTCTTGTTCATCATCAGATGTCATACGTTACACTGATGATATGTGTTTAGTTTCTTTTAGTTTCTCATCTGTGAATCAAACCTTTGTGAATCCACAGAACAATGACATTATGCTGGAGCATCATGCTGAACACAAAGTAAGGCCAAATTAATTATCACAAAGGTGGTGATTAAAGATGTAGTGAATCAGAATGTTGTCAAATTCCCCAGTGGTGTGTAGCAACACGAGCAGATCATTACCAATGATTCATAGGTCTCTGGCCGCTCCTCAACCTTTCCCGCCTTTTTCATTCTCTCCTGCCTCTTCCTCTCCACTGTGCCGGTTCGATCCAGGAAGGTGTCGTCATCACTGTCGTAGTAGTCCTCATCTTCCCAGTTCTTCTTCTTGCGCTTGCGGGACACTGGAGATATGATGCAACACAGGAAAAACATAAGTACAAGCTATAACCCCCAGATGATGGTTCAGAATTTTACTTTCAGAGCTCATACCCAGGGTTCTGCATTGGATATGCTCATGTTTTTGGTAAATGGTGACCTAAACATATTCATTTGCAACTAATGAACACTCTTAAAACAGTTAACGATGCTCAGGCACTGTATTTTATGGCACCCAAATATTTACTACACCCAGCACGCTGGTGTTGTGTTGAAGACTGTTTCGCCGTCGATATGAGGGTGGGGGGGGTGCTAGGCATTTTTACAGAAAGTAAACACTATTCAACGGGGAAACAGACTTCAACAAAACATCAGCATAGCTAGTACAACTGGCAATTCATAAAATGCATCTATTGGTGCTGTGGAAGCCAGTTCATATGAATATCTGGAATATAGTACAGTCTCCAGTGGGGAAAAAAATCTCACATTTTTATGCAAATTGTAAAACGCCAGGTCTCAGAAAAGAAGTCAGAACATCAGCTACATGGGCAACAAATTTGAAACAATGCATCAAGTTAAAGCTTTCGACCAGTCTTGGGAAATATCTGCGAGTCAGTGATGATCACAAGATTTTGTTTCAGTTAAAAAAAAACTGAAAAAATGCACCTAAACTTGTACATTTTAATCTGTGTGACCTGAACGTTGAGCCAACTCTTGTGAAGTGTGACTGTGCACAACACTCTTCATACCTGCTTCCTGGCGGAGCAGCCCTCTGGCTTCCAGCATCCGACAAGCCTCCAGGCAGCACTGGATGGCTGCTTCCTTCTTCTTCCCCGTGTGGGTCACCTCAGCAACCAGCTGCCGGCCCGTGGCATCATCCACCGGAAGCCTGACACAAACATCAACATGAACTGTGTGACTTTATACACACGTAACAACCTTTCTGACAGCAAGGACACATAAACTGTACCATCATAAATCAGGGGTTTCCCGTCACTCACTTTATTCTGCAGAGCCAGCTGCCATGGCTTTTGTCTTCATACTCAAACTCCAGCTCCTCTCCTAGTCGAGAAAGAAGTCGAGAAATTCAATAAACACAAGTACAAGTACAAAAACAGGAGAAGCAGACATCTGTGGATTAACAATAAGTCTTCTCACCTTCCCTGTCATAGAAGCCCTGCAAAGCCTTCTTTGGGTCTTTTAGGTACGCAGCTTCCTGGTCCTCATGGAACTCTGTAGAAAAAGGGTTTTCCTCATTCTCGTCTTCCTCTGGAACCGCCTCCTCAGCTGCACCGTGGATTCATGGAGACAGATGGAATGAAAGGGAAGGAGAGGACAAAAGGATTAACGTGCCTCTTTAGTCACTCACCTTAAGAGCAAGTCAGCACCAGCTCACTCAAGATGACAACACAGCAATATGTCAACACAGATGATACGTAACGTTCTGTAGCATAATCCTGCAACCAGAAGAAAAGCTCACCCATTCCCCACGAGCAGCCCGAGTCTTCGTTTGACAGTTTGCTCCGGCCCTTGTTGCTTTCGCCTTGCTCGTCCCCCTCCTTCTCCCCCTCATCATCATCATCATCAGAACCGTCTCCCATCATCCTCTTCTCCAGCTCTTCCCTCTGTTTTCGGGCTTTCTCCCTCAGCTCTGTCACTGTTAGCTCAGACTCCTCCTCTTCATCAAATTCTGGACCCTGTGGGAGGAGGAAAAGGGAAGAGAACTCCACCTATTGAGTTAAGCACTCCTATAAACATATACAATAAAGACATACGCAATCTTATCTTGTAGCCTGACACATGATGGGCTTTTTTAAAGGATCAAAACTGAAGCAGCAGACTTGCTAGTTTTCAGAATGAATCCATCTGACTGGACTGTGAGCTTCCTGATTTAAACTAGATTTCACGTGGTTTTTGAAGTTGTCATCAGACTGTTTGTGTTGTGTTAGAAGCCACCTAGGAGGACGGTAACATCAGTGCATCAGGGATCACATTCTCCAGGAAGACATTCAACACAGCGCAGGTCTCCTTGTAGATCAGACCAGATATGTGCTTTATTCCATCATGGCTAGCCAAACAGTGGATAGCAGGCTATGTGATTCCCTGGATGTTATCATCAAAAACTTAACGGTGACGCTTGGCACCTCCTTTACAGAGTCCTTTTCACTCATCTTCTCTGATTGGTCACTCTGTTCAGCAGAGTGCTTCTTCTTCATCTTATTTTCAAGTTATTTAATTTGACAGGGTTGGAATGCAAAGAGGATCACTGTGTTTGTGTATTATTGCTGTTTAAATGTATCGTATGGCTTTTAAAACATATGTCAGGTAGTAGTTACGTATGGCCAGAATTCTGGAATATTAACAGCTACACTGGTCATCAAAAAAAAAAAAAAAAAAAAAAAGTCTAGCATTTACTGTAGCACCACCAAGTTTTCATTAGTAGTTTTGAGTTGTGCTGTCTAAAGTATAGTTTTATGGATACATACTGATTCTGACTCTTTAAATCTGTTTAATACTCATTTTCTGGAGTATTCTTGCTCTCTCTTATTGTTAATGTTTGCATCAAAGTCATTTTGTTGTCCTCTGCTGCTAACCAACAAAAAAAAGTCCTTGTTGTCATGTTATACCCTTCTTAAATATATCTTTCAATTTTTTATTTTTTTTTTAAATTTGTATGCCCTAAATTTTAATCTTTTCTCAGTGGTTTCGAAAATGTTTTTTCAAGGTACTGTATCGTTGTTCGAAGTTTTCATTTACCAAATACCTGCAAATCTTTTAACGTTCCCATCAGAATGTCAGAAGCGATAGCAGGCTGAGAAAATGGCAAAATTATGCTAAAGATTGACGTTATTAATTACGGAAGCGTAGTGCATTCACTTGACAAATAAAAAAAGCCCTGTTTTTTGGAGTAATTTATTTATTTTTTCTGTTTTTCTGAGTAATTCTTCCCCTGTTTTTCGTGGTAATTTTTTTCCTGAACGAGGAGATGAGATACTTCAAACTCTCGCGAGAAGCTCCCACCTGGCACCTGCAAGTGACCCCTGCATCCATGGAGACTCCTGCTCATGGATGTATTTTGCATCCGTGCTCCTGCTCCCAGACAATTTCAACTACGGGATCAATAAGGGTAAGGCACGTAATTAGTTACACACAGGGTATGATAATCTAGCTATGTTTTCGACTGCATCCTTCTAGTGTAGGCCTATCGCTCAATGTAACAGGTTAGGTTAGTAACAGGTTGTAACAACGTTAGCTGACAAACGTGCATGGGCATGATTTCATTTCCGATATTACTGTGCACCCCTAAATCTGAGTGGGGTTTATTCTATTAATTTTGCAAATTTATTTAGTTCTTGTATAGTTTGTTGTGTCTGTGTATGTGGCAAAAAATTAAAAATGATAAAATAATTATAATGATAGCAAACAGCTCTAAATATAATTTATAAATAGAAAATGTATGCTTAGTTTGATAGCTGGCATGCATGTTACTGAAGCTGTCAGTGTTATCCTTCATATATTCATGTTAATATATTAAATATATTTAGGGGGCTCCACGTCATGATTTACCTGCAAGATAAAAAGCCTCGTGCTCCCACCAAACTTTAAGACATGTCCCACACGGAGCCTGATGTAGGTCTTCGGGGGGATCTTGTTCTTGTTGACCACAGTGCCGTGTGTGCTGCCCAGGTCATGGATGTAAAACCCTCTGTCCTCGCCCACAGAGCCTCCCTCTCCAGCCTCTCTGCGGTACTGAAGCACTGCATGGTACCTGGAGATCGAGGGATGCTCCAGAGAGACGTCACACACAGGTAAACGTCCGACCACGATGTAACTTTTCTGTGTGAGGGGCACCGTGTCCACGATGGCGCCGTTTTTAAGGATCTCCAGCGCATATGGGACGTCTGGAGCCGTGCCACCCCAGGGCGGCTCTGTGTATGGGATAGGGGGGAATTTACCAGCTGGGGGTCCTTTAGTGGGGAGCACCCTGGGTTTAGCCTCTGGCTTGGTTTTGACAGGAGCCACATTCTTGTCTTGAACTCTTTCCGGCTTGTCCTCATATTGGCCTTTTTCGGTGGTCTTGCTTTCAGTAACAAGCCCAGAAGTAGTTTCGCTAGCAGTGTGTACAACTTCAGCTTCGTTATTTTCTTTCACATGTTTTGTCTCGGCTGCTGCTGGTTTGGACGGAGCAGAGACGTTACTGCGTTTGCTGGTGAGGGAAGGCGCCGCGAAAAGAGTCGGTTTTTTAAAAGTGTCCTCTGTTTCCGGTTCAGTTTTCTGTAATTCTTTCTTTTCGGGTTCTCCTCCGTTTTCTGTGGCCGAGCACTCACCCGTTTCCATCGCAGAATCCATTTGTTCATCCGTTATTTTCACACACACATCTGACGGCGGGGAGGCGGCCATGTTTATTTGGTGCGACTGTTAATTCTGCCCGGTTTTTCAAAGCCTCTATAAAACTCCCCAAAACCACCAATAAATAATGTATATGGGAAGAAAGGCGTTCAAATGTTTTGCATGGCTACTAAATTGTATTTTAACGAGACCTTCAATTTCATACTAATCAAAATAAATGGTTTGTAGCGGAACTAAATATTTTGTTCAGCTGTTCAACCGGGTTTTTAGCAGCAAGGACGAAAATGCTTAGTTCCGGTGCAACTTCCTCCAAAGATGCAAGGGCCGCTGGTTTAAAATATCCGCAGATGTTTTATTCACCCCTGTGTAACGTGAGTTGTTATTGTTGTTGCAAATTATAAATGAATAGTTTAACTAGCTAAACATCCGTGCTACGCACTAACCTAGCTAGCATTTAGCTTAGTCGTTGCTCCTCCGTGAATAAACTCTTCGCTAATGCGTTCTTTCTTGTATGTTCATGCTGTGCGAAACTCCAGTCAGACACCTGACATTTTGCGTTGTCTTGCTATCCGGCAAACACATATACCTGTTAAACATTGACTTCAGAGCGTACAAGAATCAATGCACATTACTTTTCAATTCGGCATTGATTAAAGTGTGCCTAACTGCGTTGTCCGATACTTTTTTAACCATTAATTTTGCATTACCTCCCAGTATCTTTTTCCATCATAAAGGCAGTGCAATCCGATTAAAATTGCCAGTATTTTCTTTGAAACATGTTGTCTTTTGGCCACATCTATGCCGAAATAACCAGAAGACATGTACATTTTTGCAACATTGCTTACAATATTGTCTACGAGTTGTGCACGTTTGCCACCATGCAATCAGTAATACATTTCACAGTTATTGAGTAAAGTTTGGGGTGATCTTCTACTGTGTATCAGCTAAAAACGTTACCTTCTTAACTATTCCTAAAAAGCCGAAGACAGTCATAAACTGATTAAAGCCTAGTGAATGTGGTGTGTAAAAATCTGAATCGATGCTATTGTTAAAGTTTTATTTGTTTATTTAATCTGATGATATTTTGATTTCAATGGTCACTCCAACTTCTCCACCTTTCCAAATTTTCAGATTCAATCCGAGTTTGAATCTGGCTTGTGTCTTTGATCACTCAGCATGATGCGTTACTGGGGTGAGATCCCTGGGCCTGCAGGGGCTCCTCCCAGTCGCAGCTCCTTTGACTTGCTCCAACGTGAGTTTCGCTCAGTGGAGATGCAGGACCCTCCCCTGCACCAGCCCTCAGCCCAGCGTCCGCGGCCCACCACGATGTTGGACATCCCCTCAGAGCCGTGCAGCCTCACCATCCACACAGTGCAGCTGTGTCAGCATGCACGCCGCCTCCGTGGCCTTTTGTCAGCAGCCCAAGCCCAGGCTCAGGGTCAGAGCTCAGCATCCTCTGAGGGTGGCAGCAGGCTGGAGGAGGCTGATACCAACCTGCCTTTGCGTCCTCCTACCCCACCTGCCATGCCAGATGACTTACTACCTGCGGACAGCAAAGCCCCGCGGCAGCCCTTCCTGCTCCGCCACAGTGACCCTGAAAGTGACTTCTATAAGTAAGTTCTCATTTGTGTTGCTGAGATGCAGTACTCCTGTCTTTGTGATTGAATGTGTTCATATCCGGTAAAGCATCTAAATTGCAGGCTCATCAGTCACTCAGACTTTATATTAACTTCTTTTACATATCTGCATTTCGCAGATGTTATCTGAGTCAATTGAGCAACCAGTCATCATTAATCTCCTTTTATCTCCTCTGGTTTTTCCATCATAAGGGGTAAAGGCGAGCCTGTCACAGAGCTGACTTGGCACTCTTGCAGACAGCTCCTCTATCAGTCAGTGGCCACCATCTTGGCTCACGCCGGCTTTGAGTCAGCCCAGGAGAGCGTGCTGGAGACTCTGACCGACCTGGTCCATGAGCATTACCTGCGCCTCTCCCGCATGCTGCGAGTGGCGGTGGACCGGGAAGCTCGGCTTGGAGCAAGTCCCTTCCCAGACGTGGTGGAGCAAGTGTTCCATGAGGTGGGCATTGGCAGCGTGCTGGCCCTGCAGCGATTCTGGCAAGTGCGGATCAAGGACTATCACAGCTACATGCTGCAGGTGAGGCTGGCAGTGGGTTTGTAGGGTTGTGCTATTTGACAAATTATTCTGTAAGATGATATACAATTTTTTAAACTCTATATGATTTTGGCATAGTTTTTTAATTATTCATAAATGACACATTATTTGATCTTCTAGAAAATGTATCACATGTAAGTAAGATATCATGATAAAAAAATTGCATAGACTGTGATAAAAGATTTTATCTGTAAGCCCCACTTCTATTTATTTTTTATTCATTTATTCTCAGGAACAAAACACATCGATCAGCATCACTGTGTGTGTGCCAGTGTTATCCTTTTCAACTGTTGTCCCTCGGCCAGATGTTAAATTGGCTGATGAAACAACAAAAAAACGCACACAGCATTTTAAATTAGAGCCAGAGAAAGTAAAACATGAACAGCTAAACAGGATGAAGAGCTGACAGACATAAGGCAACATCATGCTTGCTAAGTAGGACATGTACAAAGCAGGCAATTATACAAAACTGTTGTCATGCAGACAATCAGTGTAACAGCAGTGACAACATGACAACATAAAACCAAATTGTGTTTCTCAAATTTTCACAGTTTCACACTTACAACTTAACTTTTTGCAATTTGGTTGATATTTTTTGAAAACTGCTTTGCATCACGAAGCAATTTGTGTGTAGAGCAGAAGCTCTGGCGTAGACCAGCAGCAGAGGGTCTTCATTTTCTCTGTCATTGGTTAAGTGCTGAAATGATTAATTGTTTAAAGAGTTTGTTTACAGAAAAATCATTCTCAGCAATTTAAATGATCAATTATTTGTTTCATTTATCAAGCGAAACATCTAGCAATCTGTATTCCCAGCTTCTCCAGTACGAAGATGATCTGCTTTCTCAGTCATTTTTATAATTGTAAACTGAATATTTTGGGGTTTTGGACACACCAGACTAAGATAAAAACCTAGGCTACTTAAATTTCAGGAAAAATGAGTGGTGACACATCACACAGCAACGTACAGGTGTAGCATTAATGATTAAGCTGACCGTTTAAACTTTTAATAATGATAATGAGACTGAGCTGAGCAGTTACATTTTACATTTGCATAACACTAATTAATCAGAGCAGCTTAGTTTGGAAAGGCAAATAGCTCCAGCAGTCAGTGAGAGAGGGGAAAAAAAGTGACCATGGTGTGTCCCACCTTCGCTAACCAATGTCATGGGGAAAACAGTGGAAGATGTCACCACAGGCTCTGAAAAACTATTCAAATTCTGATCATTTCCCACTATATTAGAACATTCTGTAGGCAATACAGCAACAACAAGCAATACATTGGAAAACTAGTCAGCAGATTAAATAATAATGAAAAAATAATCCCACTGGGCACAGTGCTGAAAAAACATTTGCACGCTCCCATGGCTTCAGCACAACAACGCTGAATCATCTCCGAAAGCATAAAGAACTTTGTGCGAGTGAGAACAATGGACCGTATGGCAACTTGTGTGCAAGCTGCTTCAAAGTGAGACAGAAACCAAACTGAGAGATTCACTGTCTTCAGTTGCCAACATGACTTCTAAAGATATACAACTGAGGAGTTCTGTAGAGAGCAGAAAGTAGCGCTGATCCTTTGTGTCTGTGATCAATAAATTATGTGTTGGTTATTATTCATGCAGACTTTTTCCACATCTGACCTGATGTGACACGTTAGATGTGATCCTAGAAAAGAATAATGTGGTTGCCATTGAACTTAAAATACGAGATAATCTAGGCTCAGATCTTACATTTATTTATCTACAAACCTCCAACAGTAAAATTGGACTAACAAAGATTTTTCTCTTCCAGGTGAGTAAGGATCTGTCGGAGGAATATGAGCGACTGGTGAACCCAGAGAAGGCTCTGGAGGACTCCAAGCCCCCGAGGATCAAGGAGGAGCCCATGAGTGACATCTCTTTCCCTGTTAGCGAGGAGCCCGAGGCTGACCTGGCCTCAGGGGACCAAGCTCTGCCCATGGGGGTCCTCGGGGCCCACGGCGAGAGGCTGGCTGCAGGCCTGGATGGTGACCACTCACCTCACCCCTCAGGTGAGATTAGGGTTCTTGTTCAAATGTGTAGTCTGCATTCATCCCTCTATCTTTACTGTGCACTGATGTGAAGGTGCTGCTTGTATTGTTGTATCGTGAAGTGTGTCTCATTTAACAGGCAGCTTGCAGTCTTCTTGATACGTAACTGGGCAGTTGCTTAATAAGCTCTCTTCCATTAGTCTAAAATCACCTGAAAATAGGAATCGTTGTGTTTTCGTTACCTTAGAAAAAGTCATTTATATCTTCATACGGAGCAGATCCTCATCCATGGAGTGTTCTTCCACAGTAGCCCAGAAAGGACAAACCAAACAATGGCTCTAGATAGCACCATTCACATTTCTGCTGTCGTCGTCCTACACGCTTGGCACACAGGAGAAGTTTCATTTCTGCAGCTTCACTGCTAGATGCCACGAAATCCTACACATTAGAGCCTTAATTGTCAAATGTCAAAAACGCCCTTGTTTAACCGCCTTGCTCTCAAACTTGTGGCAAACAGCACAACATATGTGGAGTTTCACCCACATTCTTCACTGTCACCCAACTGAAGTCCTGTACGAGGATATTTGAAGCGCTTGCTTGCACTTCAGCTCATAAACTTTCCCTGTGTTCCGAAATGCATACTTTTTCTTTTACTACCAGCACATACAGCAGCTGCCCTGACAAAGAATGTACTGGGACCTACGACTTTGTTGTAACATTGCGCCTTGAACTTTGACTGTGTTGCTCATGTATCTGTAACAGTGGGAAAAAAAACAAAACGCCATCTGCCACATCCCTGTTGTTGTTACTTTGTAATGTATGTAGTTTTAACTGTCAAGTCATAACTGCAAGCATTGTAGATTCTAACATGTTA